CCTAATTATAGATTCTGCTGCGTTAGGATTTATTTCGATAAAGTTCAATAATGTGCATGTTGTTTGACATTCCTAACAGAACCCAACACGTACGCGCTTCCTCGTTCCCGCCATCCTCTCATGCGTCATCGCCCAACATGCCTAATCCTACGAGGCGTAGGCTTCCGCCCATGTTCGAACTCCACTCGCGCACCCATGCGCGCGCCACTTCATCGCTGTCCACCTTGCGCGCGTCCCGGCTACCGTCCGTGCACCAATCGCCTACGGCGCACCCTACCGCGCCTACTACTCCGCGCGTTGCCTCCATCGCCCGTGGAATCCGATCACTTCCTGCGCATCCCCGTGCACCTGCTTCGTTGCGCGTACCGCCCACACTTGCGGACAGCTCGCCCATGCTCTTATCACGCCCTGCGCTTCTAACGCCGCACACTAGCGTGTCCCAGTCGACGTCCGCGGCTTGCCTGCTTATCGTGCACCCTCGTACACTGTCCTGTTCGTTCGACCATTCGCGCGCATCAAGGTGCGACGTGCGCTCTTTACTTGTGCTCGCACCTCCGCCGTCGATCGACTTCGGCTGCTCGCCCGATGGCCATGGGTCCCAACCTTTCAACCTAATGCAATCATCTGCCGGTATCCACCATCCTTCTTCAACCCATCGCAAACCCCGCCTTCTAGCCTCCTTCTTTCTTGCTCGTCTTTGCCTTGTACAAGGCTTGCACCAACAACATGATTCCTTAGCCTTTGCCTTACGTTTCCTTCGGGCTCTCTTGTTCTTGCGTTTCTTAGGCTTAAGCTTGGATTGTGGACCACATCCTTTCGGCCAGTCCCTTTTGCATGAAGGTCGATATATCGGGCTTGATGGCTCCTCCAGCATGTTTTCCAGCCATATGTTGAGGTCATTGCCATCCTCATCTTCGGACTCGCCTGGGTTGATGACCACTTCCGTATCACAGCGCCCCAGCGCGCACGCCAACGTGATGAAAGTCGTGTGTTTCGATTGCCGATAAGCCGCTAGCCCGCGCCTTGAATCGCCGATAGGTGTTCTTCGAGCCACAATAGCGCCTCTTGGAACGAATAAAATTGCAATAGAATTTTGGTGAAAAACTAAAGCAAAGTGGAAGAACAAAAGTTCATATTTCTATCATAAAATTGATGACGAAAAATAACATGGGGATGGGGCCTTTATATAGGCAAAAAATATGTCTAAGCCTAATCTACCTAGGAAACTAAATAAGCAAAGTGTCCTAATTAAGCTAGATCTCATAAAGCAAGTTGGAAACTAAATAACTTGTTGTGCACTCTAGGGAACTCTCTTTCTCTCTTCATTCTCTCTCGCACGCACGCCCTTGCACCGCCTCACTTGCGCGCCGCCTTCATCGGCCCTAGTCCTCGAGGACTAGGGCACAGCCTTCGCGGTGCCTTGTCACCCGGCGTGGTCAGCACGTCAGCGCCTTGCGCGCCTGTCCCCTGCGCGTGACCTGCCGCCAGTCCACATTCCTCAAGGAATGGGACTTCGTGCCCCGCGCGTGCTTGTGCGTTGTCTGTGTCTCTCGCGCGCTGCTCCGCTACGCTCGTCATGCGTGCATCTTCGCCAGTCCCCCGCATCCCGCTCACGCACGCTAACCGCGCACACCCGTTGGCCAGCTCCCGCTCGCCCATCACGCATGCTAGTTGCACGCGTTCGTCCTCGCCCGTTATCAGGCCGTTTTCGCACCCCTCGCGTGCACTATTCTCAAGTGCGCGCATTTCTGCCGTCTCTCGTGCAAGCCTCTTACGTGCGTGATATGCCCGACTCGCGGCGTTCTTGAGCTGCCTAGCCACTTCCGCATCATTCCCGTCCCTTCAAGCGATTCCTTGTCCTCAAGGATGAAAATTGGGAATTGATCGCGCATCTCATCAAGGTCTTCCCACGTGGCTTCTTCGGGTGGCAACTCTTACCTCCCAACGATAGCGCCCTGCTTTCCTTGCCTTGCGATACTCAATCGCTCGTTTTGGACTTACGATGATCCTACCATCGGTTGCGGTTGCTGGCAATTCCTCGCAATATTTCTGGGATTCTCCTAAACTTCTCTTGAGTTGCGAGACATGAATAACTGGTGGATCTGCGAACTTTCTGGCAGTTCTAGACGATAAGCTACTTGACCAATGCGCTTTAGAATCTGATAAGGGCCATAGTAGCGTACTCCCAACTTAGCTGCTGCCCTCTGTGCTATCGTGTGCTGTCTGAATGGTCGCAGCTTCAAGTAGACATGCTCGCCTGGTGCGTAATTCTCTTCTCGTCGCTTTCCATCTATGAAGGCTCTGGTTCGATTTATTGATCCCTCGAGATTCTTCTTCAACTCTCGCAACATCAAATCTCACTCTTCGAGTTCTCGATCAACTTCATCGTTAACCATGCGTCTTTCTAAGTAGTTGACCAGTGTTGGCGGTTTACGTCCGTACACCAGCTCAAATGGAGTCATCGTGGTTGATTCATGGTAGGTGGTATTATACCAGTACTCAGCCTAGGGCAAAAAGTTTTTCCATCTCTTTGAGAATTGATGAACATAGCACTGTAGGCATTGCTCAAGGGTTCAGTTGGTTACCTCGGTTTGTCCATTGATTTGTGGATGATATGCTGAACTCATGGATAGTTTGGTTCCCTGTAGCTTGAAGAATTCAGACCAAAAGTTGCTCATAAAAATCCTATCCCGGTCAGAAACTATAGATCGCGGAGCTCCGTGCAGCTTCATCACGTACTCAACGAATAGTCTGGCAATTGACTTCGCTGTGTAAGGATGGGTGATGGGTATGAAGTGGGCAACCTTCGTAAGTCGATCCACTACGACCATAACACCGTTGAACCCATTAGAACTTGGCGACCCTTCGATGAAATCCATAGTAATGTCCTCCCAAACTGCATCAGGAACCGGTAGAGGCTGTAGTAGGCCGCTTGGTCGTCGCGAATCAGCCTTAGTGTAACATCCCGACTTTTTAATACTATCAGAGTACGCGATTTTTCGCAATTTTCTGAATAATTAAATAAAATACTTATTTTGCGAAAACTGATTCGGGATGCTACCGTGAAAAAAACTTGATTTTTCTGAAAACCGTTAAAATTTTTTAAACTGATAAATAAAACGGTTAATGTCTTATCCGACTAATGTCGGAACAAAAACTGATAATAAGTACTGAAAGTTTTAGCGGAAACATCTGCGTGGCAAAACATATATACATAATTTCACAAATCTCTTGAACAGCCTGCCCGCTCACTCCTCGTCTCCGACCCTGCGACCTGAAAAACATGAAATGCGTGGGGCGTGAGCACTAAAACACTTGTGCTCCGCAAAAACTCATACTAATGTAAACATCGTAAATAATAACAATATCATGAACTAAGCATATATAACTGATCTGAAACTGAAACTGAACTGATATCTGATACCGGTCTGATCTCGCGACATAAGTCACGTAACTGATAACTGAAATCTGTCGGCACAAACTAATACCGCAATCTCCCGGCACAAACTAATACCGGACCATGTGCACACTCTAGTGGTTAGATTAGGCCACTAGAACCCAGAATGGACCGGCAACCATTCCGAGTGGATACTGAATATACATACCTCGAACATGGTAGCGTAATTATAAACAATGTAGTACTTAGTCTGAGTCCCCACCTGAACTGCTGAAACTGAAACTGAATTGCAGTGCTGATGCCTGATCAAACTGAAAATAATATAAACAATTACTATTGACTATACTCAGACTGATAATTTAACTGATTAATTATGTTAAGATGCTCTACTGAATCTGACATGATATTCGGATCCATTCGGTATAACTGAAACTGGCTAAGTACGAAACTGAACGGTCATAAATTAACTGAACTGAACTTGACCCGGAAATTTAACTGAAAATAATACCGAAACTGAAAACCGG